GTTATTTAGATGTTAGCATTATGCTTTCCCCACCTAAGGGCTATCTTTAGCCCAGATGTTCACTGTAAAACTAACTGCCCCATAAAATATTTGAGAAATCTTTAGTCAATTCCTCAGTAACAGCTGTTAAGATTTGTTTAACAGAATGTGTTATCATCACTTTTTTATAGCAGAGAAAATTGACTTTAAGATGAAGCTGAATATCACAACTGAGAAGCCGCTGCTTCATGAAAGGGATAAGTGAATATAAGGTGACTTCAGCTTTCCAAGTACTTAGCATGATTATAGAATCATAGAATATTCCCAGTTGGAAAGGACACACAAGTCCAACTCTGAGTCCCCAAAGGACCACCCAAAAAATTAGACCTTGTGTCTAAGAGCATTATCCAAACACTTCTTGAACTCCACCAAGGAATCTAGCTTAACTAGTTGTTTTCTAATTCTGGCTTTTGACTACGCAATGACAAATGGATTTGCCTGAAACCTGGCAACAATTTACACTTCCTCTGTTTACACTTCCACTTAACTGTTTCATACACATAGCAATTCAATAAATATATGTTTCTAAAAGTCATGTATGATTTCAGTACCCTCATTGTCCTACAGAAATGACAAAAATTGATGAGCAGTGACAAAAATTAGAATAAATGGTTTGATGACTATATGTAAGCCTTGCAAAACTGTTGACATATTTTGTAAACTCTTTAATTATATACAAAATAGGAACACCAAGGTTCCTTTAGTTTCTCAATAGGTCTCTTCTGTTCAATAGGACTATAACATTATCATTCTTCCTAGAAAGCAGAAATCTCTCTTACTTTTCTTCTAATTAGTCAGTCGGTACGCAGAGCTGAAACACAGCAGTGATAACAACTGTCTAACTACTATACAATCAAAAGTAAATCCTATCAATTGTAATTGAAGATACATAGATTTCTTTTCATAGTTAACATATTTTGGTACTACAGAGTACTAATGTTGAGACACAAGGATTCAGAGATTCAATTGCCAAAAAAGCAACAGTCATGTGTTCATAGTCCTGAAAAGTAACTTAAAATATCATATAGTCTGATAGTTTAAAACTGCAGACTCCTAAGAATATTCCAGAGTCAACATGGACCTTGATGTAGTAAAATCAAATCTGCTGATGCTAAGGTTACTGTTGTCATATTCAGTTCTTCCTGTGGAAGAAGGGCCACAAATTAAAACCACAACCTAAGGCAACTCCTGCTCCTTTTTAGGTCAAAAAATACCATCATGATGTTTGGTGCAAACAATGTTAATATTTTATATATCACATAGAAACTTCACACTCCCACTACCTCAAACATGATATGCCATAATATATTTTTTGTTTTGTTTTAAAGGTGTAACCTCAGAAATTCAGTGACAAATCTGAGGATTCCTGCTTTATACAGAGATCCTCTTCAAAGAAAATCTGCTTTTGACCAGTGACCGTAAGTCAGTAATTAATGTGTCATACAAGAAACATATAGCCTTGGAAACGAAGTTATCACTGCCTTACCAGCAGCTCCAGTTGTTGTTAACCACAGTCACACTTTTTAACATGAAACAATGTGCAAAGATTTTTGCTGTAAAGTTTATAATTGAAGCATGCAGCACCATAAAGTGTGCACATGTTATGTACCAAATACAATGCATTCTACTAACATGTTTTTTCTTTTAAAACACAAAGAATTAAGTTAAAAGTGGGAACAGCTTTCAGCCACTGATATGCCATGGACTCAATTAAACCAATTACTTAGTTTACAATGTCTGCAATGCATTAGAATGTAACTGGAAAAGATTGCCTAGAAAAACACAGTCAAATGATAAACTACATTAACCTAATTCCTGTGGAAGAGACATAGTGTTTAGATATTATCTTGAGTTAATAGGAAATCAGAGACTTGCAAAAATTGGAAAAAGCCAAACGGATACCAACAACTCCTACAGTCCACCTGCTTCTCCACATTAGGTTTTGTAAAACAGGTTGCATAAATCTGAAAGGTTAATTAAAAATCCAGTTGCAGCAGGTTTATGCGCAGCAAGACAACTCATTACCACAACTTCCCCATCTGCAGATGTAGTCCACAACTCTTCTCAGCTTGGCATTTACTCCAATCAATTAAGAAAGAAAAACAGACTACCATGTTTAAGCTCATTTTCTGCTAACTCAGGAAGCAGAGATAAAGCCCATTATGCATTTTCCACAATCTTACATATGCTACTGTCCCTCAGAATTCAGAAAATACTTCTGACTAAACAGAAACTGTGACAATCAAGTCAACACAGGAGATATTTTTTTCTTTTTTTTTCTTTCTTAGTATGCCTGAAGTTATCCCAAAGTAACAGGAATAGTAGTAATTGAAGAGTTACAACCAACTTTCAGTAAGCTTTGTTTCAATTCAACTTCTACAGGAGAAATATCATCATCCCTCACATAGCTCCTTATTAGCATTCTGGCAACTGATACATGGTATTTCCTGATAAAGTCACTATTAATGATCTACAAGGTTTGTTCAAAAATTAAGTGCTGGCTACTCTTAAGTGTTTCCACATGTTTTGTGTGAGGCAGTAACAGGATAGAAAAGTGTCATTTTGCTAATAAGCTCAGCTCTCTCTAAACATTGGGAGTTTCACTTTCACTGACCAGAAAGCTTAGAGAATACTAGAGGACTGGCATTAGAAATTGTTATATAAATGTATCTTTGAATCTAGGTCTGAATTTAGTTTACCTTTTCAACATACATGCAAGAGCTAAGCTAAAAGGAATACAGGAATGAGAGAAACAGGATTCCTGATTCCCTTAAGCTTTTTTTTTTCTTCTTCTTCCTTTTACAAAGGCCTTAAATACTTAGGAAATTCACTATGTCATGGATACAAGTGTTTTCATATTAGATCACTATTGTTACAGAAAGATTCATAGTGCTACTGTCACAAAAGCTACACTACAGGAACAAAGAGTACCAGATTCTAGATTCCATGTTAGGAATTGCTACACTTGGCCCAAGAAGACAGATTCAAATTCATGCATCTAACTAAAGCTACAGTTTAAAGGCACGCTATAATATTATTCCTATAATATTATGATGGTGAGCCAAATTGCTGTTGCATATGAAGAGATCCTCTGATGATGATACACCTAGTAAATACAGTTGGAATAAATTCAGTCTTTGTTTATTTCCAGTTTATATAGAATATATATAAAACACAGTCCCATAACACATTAAGTTGATAAGGAACAGTAAAACCCCTCAACTGCTGTGACTTGTTAATCACAAGCCCAAACTACTGCTTGCAGTCTAATTTCTTTTTTATTAGTAAACATCTATTTTTTCTCTAAAAATAACTCATATATTTTCTATAAGTTGTTGAATCTCATATTGCCATATTTCAAATCAAAATAAGCCTTTTGTGCCTTATCAAACTTAATTCTTTTTCAGTCAGACATATTTGCATGGAATCCAAATCCATTGCTCATATGATATCAAAACTTGCGATAAAACTTTAAATTTACAGTATATCATTAGATTTAAGATTAAACAAAACAAAACAAAAAAAAAAGATTTATCATTGAGCAGTACTTAGCACAAAAAAAAGCAACATTAGTATATGATCTGACTGTAATTCTAACTCATGTCCTAAGAGCCTAATGATCTCTAGAATGTTATTAAAAATGTAAATATTCCTTTGCTGTGAAAAGCCAACAGATGGATTAGCAGAATCAGAAAATAACTGACTTTTCGATGCTTTTCTAAAAATATCTAAGATAAATTCTGCTTTATGGCATCTTTTCAAAAATTATTTGAAGTATGCTGAGGAGTAAGCCAGCCAACTTTCATTAAACTACTGTTCTTGTCCTTTGCATAAAAGCTGTATGCTACAACCTTTCTTCTGCTTAACTCGTCACTTCAGTGACAACTTCTTTTGGTCTGTATTGAACAGACTGGAGCATTACATTGTCTAAGAATTCACTGTCATAACATTCTCTAAAAATTGTATCTTCCACTGGCACTGTAGCTCTGGAAATATAATTAACACCTTTTGAAAGAAGAATATCTCTTTAGCTTGCTTTTGAGGGAGGAAAGAAAAGGCAAGAGAGAGAATGAGTAGATTCCCACCCTTTGTCCTCATTCTTTGTCAACTGAGAATAGCTGTTTGGAAAGGACAGGCAAGACTTTCTGGAATTCTCAGTATTCAAACACCACCAATTTTTTCCTTTATCAGAAAGAACACCTTGGAATATTCAACATTTAACTAACAGATACGTAACTGTGCCTCAACCAGTCCGCATTGAAATTCCTTGTGCACAGCTGGTTTATTCTGTTCATGACCAGGTATATATTTGGTTTTATTGAAAGATAAAGCCAGTTAAGTTTACATGGATATATGATTGCAATCTAACTTCACAACTCTTGGTTTACATTGATACAAACAGAAATTGCTCAATTAAATTTAATCAATTAATGTCTTCCTATCTTGTATCTTCAGTGCTCCTCTAAAATCAATTAATATTATTTTACTAGATCAGGTAAAAAAAAAAAGCCCCACCTAACTTGGCCTTGAACATTTCCAGGGATGGGGCATCCAAAACGTCTCAGGACAAACCTATTCCATTGCCTCACCACCCTCCTAGTAAATGATTTCTTTCTTATACCTAATGTAAATCTCCCCTCTTTTAGTTTCAGTTTTTTAGTTTAAAACCATTCCCCCTTGCCCTACTGCTACATTCCCTGTTACAGAGTCCCTCCCCATCTTTCCTGTAGACCCCTTTAAGTACTGGAAGGCTGCCATAAGGTCTCCCTGGAGCCTTCTTTCACTAGACTGAACTACAACTTTCTCAGCCTGTCTTCATAGAACAGGTGCCCCAGCCCTTTAATTATCATTGTGGCCTTCCTCTGGCCTCACTGCAACAGGTCAATGTCTTTCTTATATAGGAGACCCCAGAGCTGAACCAGGTGGGGTCTCAAGAAGGCAGACGAGAGGGGGAGAATCACCTGCCTCAACATGCTGGTCATAATTCTTTTGATGTAGTCCAAGATACAATTGGTTTTCTGGGTTGAAAGTACACATCGCTGTCTCATGTCAAGCTTTTCATCCATGAGTACAATCAAGCCCTTCTCCACAAGGTTGCTCTGAATTCAATCATCTCCCAGTTTATATTCATGTTTGCGATTGCCCTAGCCCAGGTGCAGGACATTTCACTAAATCTTCTTGTTCCTATGGCCCCACCTGTCAAGCCTGTCAAGGTCCATCTGGATGACATCTCTTCCCTTCAGTGTGTTGACCACACCACACAGGTCAGTGTCATCAGCAAGCCTGCCAAAAGTGCACTCAATCCCAGTGTCCATGTCACCAACAAAAATGATAATTAGTACCAATCCAAATACAGACCCCTGAGGAGACACTACTCATCCTGGTCTCCACTTGGACATCGAGCTATTGACCACAACTCTTTGAATGTGGCCATCCAGCCTGTTCCTTGACCATCAAGTGATATGTCCACCAAACCCACTTCTCTCCAATTTGGAGACACAGATATTGTGTGGGACAGTATCAAATGCTTTGCACAAAATGGTGTAGATGACATCACATGCTCTTCCCTTATCCACCAATGCTGTAACCCTTTTATAGAAAGTCACCAGACATGCCAGGCATGATTTTCCCTTAGCAAAACCATGTTGGCTGGCAACAATTACCTCATTGTAATTGTTGTACTGTTGTGGTTTAACCTGTCCTGGAGCTAAGCACCACACAGCCATTAACTCACCCTCTTTCCCCCACCCTCCAGCCCAGTGGGATGGCGGAGAGAATCAGAAAAAAAAGGTGAAAGCTTGTGGGTTGAGATAAAGACAGTTTATTAGGACAGAAAAGAAAGGCTAATAATAATAATAATAATAATAATAATAATAATAATAATAATAGTACTGCTAATAAAAATGTCTACCAAACAAGTGATGCAGAGTGCAATTGTTCACCACCCACTGACAGATGCCCAGCCTATGCCTGAGAGGTCCCCCCACCCTGGCCAGTCATCAGTTGGTAATGGTAGGCACCATTAATTGCTCAGCATACCATATGGTATGTAATATCCCTTTGGCCAATTTGGTTCAGCTGCCCTGGTTCTGTCCCCTCCTAGCTCTTGCTGCACCCCCTGTCTACTCACTGACAGGACAATGTGAGAAGCTGAAAAGTCCTTGGATTAGTGTAAGTACTGATCTGCAACAATTAAAACATCAGAGTGTTATCAATGTTTTTCTCATCCTAAATCCAAAATACAGCACTATACCAGATACTAGGAGGAAAATTAACTCTATCCTAACTGAAACCAAGATACTTTTCCACGTGCCTTAGGATAGTTTCCAGGAGGATCTGCTCCATGATCTTTCCGGGCACAAAAGTGGGACTGACTGTCCTGTAGTTCCCTGAGCCTTCCTCTAAAAATTAGGATTATGCTTCCCTTTTCCCAGATACTGCCAACTTCACTAGACCACCACAACTTCGCAGATATGATGGATAGTAGCTTTGCAACTTCAGCTGCCAATTCTCTCAAGACCCACAAGTGCGTCTCATCAGGTTACATGGACTTGTGCACATTCAGGTTTCTTAGATGGCCTTGAACCTCATCCTCAAGTTTGCTTGACTGTCAAGTTCTAGCACCTCATACCTGGTGTGTAAGGGTAGATGGGAAGGTGAGGTAGGCAGGGAGGGGTCTCACCTACCACCCTGAGCAGAAACATGCTTCCATTCTCCCTCTTATCCTTTGTCTTTTGTGTAGTGGCTACCTGGTGGGATAGGCAAACCTTCATTTCTTGTGTAGTGACTGGCTCATGAGTCTGTCTCGGGGATGGTAGAGTACATTTCCACCAGTCAATTTCCTTCCCTGCATGAGCTACCACACAAACTGCCATGCCACGCCCTAACTGACATCAATATTTTAAATTGGCTATTAATAATAGATTTAACTAACTCCTTCTAAATGTTTACATTTAAACTGACTTCTCTACTCTCAGAAAATAATTGGGAAATTTTTTTTTTCATTCTCTTGAAGAGTTTAATCAGAATCCTGATGTCATTTGCCTTCTGAATTCTAAAACTATTTTAATGTACCTCTCAAATATACCTTCACTTTACAAAATGTCTCAATTCAGACTTTATAAGACAACTATTTGTCCCAGAAACAGAGCAAAACAACTGGCTTACAAATTATATGAGCTAAAACCAAGTATTTTTCTAGCATCTTAAATTTTCTAGTTTGTTTTGTTTCGTTTTTTCTTTCCTGAATGTCCCACCTCTGCATGTGAGCAGACTGGAAATCTGTTTTACATCTCTTACACTTGGACAGAGATTGTACAATAGTGCAAAAACCTCATGGTGCATACATGTTTCCATGCATCAAGGTAACCACAACCAGTACTCTGGGCTTGCTTCCCTCTCCGTATGCCAAAGATACTGAAACCTCTTAGTTTTTTATAGATGTTTCAGCTGCCAAAACACTTAACTAGAACAATATTGCTCCAAGAAAACTCAGGATTGCTAGGTGAGACAGATTCAACTGAGAGGTTTCCACACGTTTACCTCTCTGGCTGATCAGCATAAACCTTGTCTCTTTGCAGGGTGGGAGCCTTTCCAGGTCCCACCTTTCTGGTCCTGCAGCGTGTCCCTCCTCAGTACTCCCAGCACATCAGAGTTGAGCCATTGCCTCCTCCTCATCTGCTCCTTGAGACCTGCTAAGGCCTGAGGAACTGGTGCAGGGCGAGGGGAAGAGGGGCCAGCAGCAGTGGAAACCCCAGGCAGGCACTAACACTTACTGGAATGATCTCCCAGCCCCCGCCTCTCTCTCTCCCACTCCTCTGCATCTTCCCTGGCCTCTCCAGCCCTAACACCTGCACCCTTGAGTCCTGGCCTCCACAGTCCCGACACAAGCACAGGCTTGCAGAGAAAGAAAGCCTACAATGTGTGCAGTATAATGAGACAGATTAAACAGTTTCCACAGTAATCCTGATTTGTGTACACTTTATACTGCAACATTAGAAGACTGTAAGTATTGTATCACCTCCCAGAAATATTTATTGCTTGGGGTATTGCTACAAGTACTGTTTTTAGCAAAACTTACTGAAGAGTTTACTTTGCACTGACAAATATTAGTTGTTATGCTAAAATCTGCTATGCATGCTTATGTGTAAAGCCACTTATTGCTCGTATTTCTCTCTCATCAAATAAATTTTGAAAAAAATTACTATTGTCACAACATATTACTATTTCCAAGATTAATAGACAAATGTTTTCTCTCATACTCATCTGTACAGTTTATCTGTTTCATTTAGTACACCAGTCTAAGAAAATGTACAAAATTAATGGAACAGTTGGACTCATATGTTTTTGTTGTTGTTATTGTTGTTTTTTTCAGAGATGTGACATTGTAATTCCAGCAATTACGTGCTTATGCTTTTGGACATGCTATATCTTTATGCTATCTTTACTTGTCTTTACATTTTTGTAAAAGGATCTGAGCCTGTTGCAAATGTTCAACAAATTTCCCTAATACACTTTAAGCTAATAATAATTTGTGATCTAATGTGATATTGAACATTGTCACACACATCATATAAAATTAGTGGAAATAAAAATAATGTATTCATTTTTATTTCACAAATAAAAAAAAAATAAAGTTATTCATAAAAGAAAAAGCAAGCTACTTTTATTGGGGAAAAAAAAAAAAAACATTTTGTTTTGACTTTTCATCCATTTCTATAGAAAATATGTAATTGTGGCTACAGAGAACTACGGAAAATTGCAAAAGAAAAAAAAAAAAAAAAAAAAAACAACAACAAAACCCTTATTGAACACAAAATAGTTGTATTTTTAACAGGAAAAGTGCCTTATATTAGGTCACACAGAATTTTGGAAGTAACTGTTCAACTTTGCATGTTATTCATACACCATATCATCTCCATCTGATGCCACTTCATACAGCCTGCAGGATATTTATTTAGAATTTTTCTATTTCTGTATTGTGAAATACTATTTTTGTTATTGAAGAAGCAGAAAAAAGGCATACTGTGAAATAAAACTGGACACAAAGGCTGTCTGCACAGTCTATTCCTTTGCTGACTAATGCAAAAAATACTCAGCCAAAACATAAAACACTCATATTACTTCCCTCTCTTGTCTTTATACGCAAACAGTGTTCCGTGTCCGTGACCTCTTGGTACAATGGCACAACACCAAGAACTTTGCATGTCATTCTGTCAGTCTGTCATGCTCACATATCATAATATCAGAATAGAATGTTCTTCAGGGTTTGCTGAATTTGTTCATTTACCATAGCACCTTTCCGTGACCAGTAGGTCTTGACTGCATTTCTGGCTGCCTTATTAATACAAGGCTATTTGAGTCTCATTCAGCTTTTATGTTATTATGTGCTTGTGTAGGAAAGAAACAGGTTGCAAATACAAGGTATTCCAGATGTCATCTAAAGAATGTTGAATAAGAGTAACAATCACTTTTGTTGATCTATGGGAAGATACTGCTGTAAGTAAAATGCAGAAAGCTGTTAGCTTTCATTGCTGCCAAAATGCACTGCTGAGTCAGGTTTAGCCTACTGTCAGGTTTAGCTGACTTGATAAGTAGCAGACTGTTGGTGGACAATAGGTCATTTCCAGCAGAGCTGTTACTTAGCTGGTCAGTTACTAGCACTACCAAGCTTCATTGTTTCTCTTTGATATCTTTATCTATGGTCTGGATGAGGGGATCGAGTGCACCCTCAGTAAATTTGCAGATGACATCAAGTTAGGTGCATGTGTCGATCTGCTCGAGGGTAGGAAGGCTCTGCAGGAGGATCTGGGTAGGCTGGATCGATGGGCTGAGGTCAACTGTATGAAGTTCAACAAGACCAAGTGCCGGGTCCTGCACCTGGGGCACAACAACCCCAAGCAGCGCTACAGGTTAGGAGATGAGTGGTTGAAAAGCTGCCTGGCAGAGAAGGACCTGGGAGTATTGATTGATAGTTGGCTGAATATGAGCCAGCAGTGTGCTCAGGTGGCCAAGAATGCCAACATAAGAATTGCATAAGAAACTTTGCATTGCATAAGAAACTGTGTGGACAGCAGGGCTAGGG